TAAAATCGACTGGAGTTGTGACGTAGTAACTCCACTGGGCGTCTCCACACGCGACGTCTTGGAGTGAAATAATGATCGGTGATAACTTTGATTAACTTCGGATAATAATAATTAACGTGTATATAATACTGTTGCCCCACCGGTATTGGGGGTGTTAGCTAGCGGGAGAGACAGAGCTCTCAGCAACGGGCAGGGGGAGGGTCGTCTCCATGCCAACGGCTCCGCCCACAACGCAGAGGCGAATTGCTAATGAGCTACTGCCGCTCTGCTGAAGCGAAGTCCCAGAAAACGGCACAGGTTTTGTGATTTTGGCTAAAAATGGCATAATCATAATTTAAAGACCACTGGGAAGGTTTAAAAATAGCTCAAAATATGATCGGAGTGGGACTTTAAAGGTTCTCTAAGCGATGTCGGGTGACGTCACTTCTTGTTGACGTTTAAAGTATTGTCAAACAAAACGGAGGCTAGCTAGACCCTCCCTCCTCCTCATCCGCACACCAGAGCCCCTCTATGGCTCTGTCGCGCACTAACCCCCCAAACCACACCCCCAAGTCCTTCTTGTCGGTGATTGGCTGGAACTGTTTGTCATGTTTCGTGGAGCGGGTTAGCCCAGTTTGTTTTTATTGCTGTTTGTGGAGCCTGGGCTGTCTACAGAGATCGCGTTTCTTTACAGCAGTGGTCTCAAACTCGCGGCCCATATTTTGTGGCCCCCTACTTGATTTTAAAGTTTAATGTTAGTGCGGCCAGTCGTTGCGTGTGCCGCGTTTTTTTTTTTTTTTAAATCCCTTATGGGCTACCATAGATAGTCTCGTGACAGCTCACGGGTGGGTTTGTTGTCAATAGTTGTCATAGACAACCGCGAAGTACAAACATACGTACTGCGCCTGGACAAAATGAGCGCGTCGCTTCAATTATGAGCGCGCTTGCCGTGCCTACATTTGAAATAACGAACTTGAGGGCGCAAAATATGTGAGCGCGATATGTGAACTGCCCCTTGGAGCTACCACCAAACAGGCCACGAGCTACTGGCAGCTCGCGAGCGACGTGTTGGAGACCCCTGCTCTAAAACAATGTGAGAGTAATAATTTTGAGCTTGTAATATGTGGCCAACAGGTTGAGAAGAAGGTTTGATTTGATTGATTTGTGCAGTCAGTAATTTGCCTGAGACACTATACATGTGTAGAAAGAACTCAATAAGACAGGCAGACATGACTGCAAATATTTGTATTTCAAAAGCAATAATTGTTTTTCTAAGTATAATAAAAGGAAATGTGCCTTCCAAAATCACAAAGATGTTGTGTATAAGGAAAAGACAAAAAAAGTTTGTAAAATGAACTTCAACTGTCAGAAGGACAGCTCATGAAGAACCAATCATGTACAGAAAGGAATGTTCTAATTCAGAGGAACAGTTCAGAAGAAACGTTAATAATAAAGATTGAGAAGATTGGATCAGTTGTGCTCCTTTTTTGGAATACTTGAATACTATTTTTTTTGTGGAATACTTGATGCGGCCCAGCCTGACCCAGACTCTACCTCCAGCGGCCCCCAGTTAAGTTGAGTTTGAGACCCCTGCTTTACAGTGTGTTCAGGGGACAGGCAGCCAGCGGTTAGTGAGGAGATGTTTGCTGTATGTGACAAAAAAATTTTTGGCCTAAAAACGCGTGACATCCCTTAGAGCACCTTTAACACTAAACTGCCAATAATGTAAGCCATTTGGAGACCATAGATTGCTGTCAGATTGCAGATCCTGATCTCAGGTATTACATTTACATTAAAATATGTTTTATAGTATGGCATTTTTGCTTATTAGAGTAGTATCTGTAGTATTTTATACAAAATATGAGAAATTGTTGTACATTTATAGGTATTATTTATAATCTCATGTTCTACCGCATATAGTGCTGCTCACTAGAGACACATCTGTGTAAATACTCAATCTACAATTTTTGTAATAACGCTGTGTAAATGAAAAATCATAAAGCACTCTTTAAAGTGAGTGTTTTAGTCATAAATTAATATGTAATTTGTTAAATACAGCAATTAAAAGAAGCAACTTTAATATCTTTGCTATAGTTCAGTTCATCAGAAGAGATCAGAACCGGAGTCCAGATTTGTGTCTATCAGGAGTGACGGTCTTCAACACATTTACATCAAACTGTTGAAGTTTCAGTGTCTGTATTAAGGAACAGCAAAGCAGGGGAACCAGACTCTCCTGAATGAGATCTACACAGAGCTCTACATCACAGAGAGTGAGAGTGACAGATCAGTAATGAGCATGAGGTGAGTTTCTGCTCGGAGAACAAAGTGAATGACAAACTACAAACACTTGAATTACAATTCACATTGTGTCTTAGTTCACTACAGGTTGAGACATTGTGATATCACAGATGAAGGCTGTGTTGCTCTGGCTTCAGCTCAGAGATCAAACCCCTCACAGCTTAAAGTACTGGATCTGTCTGAGAATAAACTGTATACAACATTTTAATGCAGCCAGGTTACAAATTATTTTAAGTTGAATCAGCTATAGTTTGTTTTTGCAGTGTAGGGAATTCAGGAGTGAAGTTGCTGAAGGGATGATTCAAATTATAGTACATAGTAGCCTACATTTTTATTTAAAGCTTTTAAATTAGTCCAAATCCAGTAACACGCCTCATACTGTTTGTGTGTAACTCAAGAATATAAGATAATTTAGCTCCACTTTAGTCTTTAAATTGTGTTTAATAAGAGTTTATTTCTATATGTGACTGATCAATGAATATATGAATATGTTCTTCTCTTACAGTGTCTCTGTGTGTAAGTGATAAATAGAGTTGTCTGTCATTTACTGCTATTAGTCTATTAGCAACAATGTCTCATACTTCATTTGTGACTGTGTGTGTTTTATTGTAAGACTCTGTATTTTTGGACGTCAATCCAGTTTCCCCAGGATCAGCTGAGGGTGAATAAGGAGCTGCTACAGAGACTGAAGACACAGTGTGTGTGATTTCACACCAGTTATAACTTTTATATGTAAGGCCAATGAAAATGAGTGCTGAAAATAGACACTTAGTCAGGATACACATAATGTTACACCGGTAGGCAGTGGCCCACCTTACCGGGTGACCACGTCGTGGTCCACCAGAATTTATAGTTTACCTACCTCTTTTTTTTACCACTACACCTCTGCCTATAACAGAGTGTAATTAGCTACACCAAGTGCAAATAGCCCGCCTTGTTGATGTTATTTACACGATCTCTGTCCACCATTGTCTGATTGAGCCAGACAAAACTACAAACGAAATCCCGCTGACAACTGGATTAGTAGCGTTGAGTAAGACGAGTGGCGTTAACTTTTGACTCAAGTTCAAATCCGCCTTTTTCCGAACTAATTTTTCTCAATTTTCCCACTTTATTTTTGAAAATAAAGTGCCTAACGGATATTTAATAGTACAATAAAGTGTTAGTCTGGGTAGGGAGAATGTGATTCCTTTATTAATGTAGCATTTTTAACATTTTGGTTTTACTTTAGTATACATGTAGAAAGAGTTTTTACACGTTTTACTTTAAGAAAACAAGAGCCTGCTACACAAGAGATAGATGCTGTAAATGTGTCTACAAGTAGAGGGAGACAAAGATTATCTCTGTAAAAAAAATGTCTGTAAAATAATATTATGATTGACCTATTTTGTATAGTTATGTAGGTTCCTACCTAAATCTTCACATTCCTTTACTGTGTTTTTCCCCCCTCCTGCCTTTGAACACAGTTAGTTACTAATTTCTATATTGCTATGTATTCCTATTGATGGAAAGCATTTCTGAAGCCAACAACAAAAGGCAGCGAAGAGACAGTTGCTCATGCTTAATTCCACACTTTATATTAAAACGAGGTAATTCTTTCAATGAAAATGAACTGGAATTTTTCTGATAAGAGGGTAATTATTTCCTAAACTGCTCAATTTAACAATAAAGCTCAATGCTTTATAAAAATCAAGAAAAAATATAATTAATTAAAATAAATATGTGATCAGATTCCAAGCTCTACACAGGTTTGTTTCTTCTTCTTCTAAGAATTCTTCTATTATTCTTCCTGTTCTGGTTCATGTCTGGATAAATGTGAATGAATGGCTTACATAACTGCCATCTTGTAGATGATGGCAAGGCCAGATTGAACAGATGGCTGCAAATACATATTTCCATATTTCGCCGAATACTGTTTACTAAATTGGAGCCTTTCTGTAAACTGTCAGTCTTTGGTTTTGTGTTCACAGGGAAATTTTCAAAAATGTAGGTGGTATTGATTTTGTTTTGTGGTGTGATTTTTCTCTCCACAAAACTGATCTGGTTTTTATTTAGTTTTTTACAGACTGTAAGTTATTGAATGACCAAATTTACTTAACTTTACTCAACATAATCTATTTTATGTTAATTCTGTCTCTTTTAGAATAAAATCACTTCTTTGAGACTGAATGGAGTAGGCTACTAGAGATAGCCCATTTTTTATTTTGTAGATGCAAATGGATTTATTTATTTTTTTGTAGAAGGTCCAAGCGTCATTAGAAACAATTTGACAAAGTACTTATGTATATTCCAAAGTTTGTCCATGTGTTAATATTTCTCATTAAACTGGCATGTGGGTGCAATTTTGACAAATTTTAAAGCCATTTCCAAGATATTAGAATATGTTCTTCTTTTTATTGTGTTGTAACTTGTCATTTAAAACACTGTTATGTGTTTTTATTTTATTTAATAGAAGACATTCATTTCAATAGAACACAGCTTTGGCTCCTGTTTTGTTTACATTCACTTTCCTTTTGGATTTTGGAACAAACAGATCACGTGGTGTTCAATCACAGAAAAGCCTTGGTTTGTATAGCCTATGTATATTTGTTTATTGTCCTCTATAATATGTGTAGTCACTAGGTGATGGGTCCGTCTTGACAAGGAAAGACGAGAAATGTGTGTCCTTGTAATTTCTTAATTTATTGTTTCAGTCAGACTCTTATTTTGAAATTAACCTCAACGGCGTCGAGCGTCACCCGGAAATACTCTTAGCAGCCGCTGAACAACATGCTTTACACTGGTGTTTTCATGCGGTTTATTTCGCTACAAATGATTTGAATACGGAAACTTGGATGGATGTAATTCCGTTTACATATTTTTAAATGATTTTGCTGGCCTCGTAAGTTTACATAAACTGTTTGTCTCGTGTTTTTTCATCTGAAAATAACAGCTGTCGCGGTTTATTGGTATTTGCAGTGGTTTAAACGGAAACATTCATGACTTGTTCCTCGTGACTTGATCTTTAAATTGATGTGACTATTATTTTTCTCAAAACGTTTTTGTATCAGAGAGCTGTATTTGCTGACACACTCATAAACGACCTCGTGTCATCATCACATCAGTGAATCACTAGTGTTTGTGTTATTATAAAATGATTATGATGTTCTGATATATGACTGTATGTTCTGTTAATATGCATGTATTAAAACCCTTCCCAGGTGCTCCTCTATAAACCAAAATGGGTAAAAAGAAGGTGAAAGACAGAAGTCCTAGCACTGAGACTCCAGGTAACGTTACATGTGTGACAGCTGGCTGTAAATTAAGTGATTATAATCATGAAACCTCTAACATGATTCTCCTGTTGCTTTATAAGGGGTTTCCTGCACTCACATCCGCAAAGGAATAGATAACAGCTTACTGAAGAAAACCGGTCTAAATCTGAGCTCGTGCCAAGACTGTGAGCCGAACAAGCCTGTTGAAGACCAGATCTCGGAGGATGAAATTGACAGAGAAAGTCCAGCTGTGTGGCTGTGCCTGAAATGCGGCCACAGAGTAAGTGATCAGGTGACTTGGTTATGACACGTTGCTATTGGCCAGCCTCACATAAACACAATGTTGTGATCCTTGTCAGGGCTGCGGGAGATTTGAGAATCAGCATGCAGTCAAGCACTACGAGACGCCTCGATCCGAGCCACACTGTTTAGTGCTCAGCCTGGACGTCTGGAGCGTCTGGTAAGTCACACACATCCTCACTGAAATGTGGCAGGGTTTGTGTGTTCAGACCTCTTACCTTCTGTTTGATGTGTCGTCAAGGTGTTACATCTGTGATGAAGAAGTTCAGTATTCCAGCACGGGACAGCTGGCACAGCTGATCACAAACATAAGAAAACAAGTGCCGACGGATCCTGGCAAGAGCACCTCCAACAAAAGTAGGTGCCAGACAGTTTTCAGAGCCACGTCCGCTTATTCAATATCAGTAGCAGTTGACCAATATGTTTTTATTAGTCATGATTTAAACAAACATGTATTAATGTTTGTAATATTAAAGTCCGCCTGTGGTGAAAATCAAGCATTTAATGTTATTGTCTATGTGGTGTTTTTAATATGCTTTAAGACAAACCATGTGTAAATTCATAAGTCGACACCATTGCTGAGTATTTTCTCCTTAAAACTGCAGTGAACCAAAGACAGTATTAAAAAACGTGGTTCGCTGGTGTTTCTGACATCACAAACTACCTTGTAACCAATCAGGTCAACGAGTGGATCTCTGAGCTGGTGTGAGTGAGTGGAGGCGGTGCTAATCTGCATATTCATAGAACTGTGTATATGTATATTTCAAGGGGAAACAAACTTTTAAATATGTCATTTCGGTGATCAAAGGTGAGTTTTAATGGATGAAATGATTGACTACAGGGGGACTTTAACAGAATATACTATGTAATATTTGAAAAACAATATATTTTCGACACTTTGGCTATTTTGAAATTTGTTTACTAAAAGCACATGGTTTCATTTAATAAAGCATAAATTTGCCTGCAGAATGTAAGAAGGAAGAGAAACCTGCAGAGCAAACACCACATGAAGAGAAAGAGAACCAGAAGAGCAACTCCAAACATGATGACAGTCCCAAAAGACAGAAGGCAGCGGCGGCAGCAGGAAGCCCTGGTGTCGTGTGTGTCAGGGGTCTCAGTAATCTGGGCAACACGTGTTTCTTCAATGCAGTCGTGCAGGTAGAGAGTCAGAGTTTGAGACGCTACACATTTCTGCATGTAAACAAGCTCTGCAAACCCTGATGTTCTCGTCTCCCTTCTCAGAATTTATCACAGACGTGGTTTTTGCGAGAACTGCTGAGCCAGATTTCAGATGAGAAGAGCTGCTTCACCATCACTCCATCATCTGAGCTGGTACTAATGCTGACCCTCATTATGTTCAGTTTATGCCTAAATCTTCATCTAACAGCATATTTTCACATTATGTTTTCAGGAACCTCTTCAGATCCAGCTGGAAAGACCCGGGTCGCTCACGCTGGCTATGTGTCAGGTACTGAATGAAGTCCAGGATACCAAGAAAGGTGTTGTGACCCCTAAAGAACTCTTCACTCAAGTGTGTAAAAAGTAAGTATCCGCACACAAATGTTCCCAGTGCAGCTGCCTCATCTAATAAGAGGAAAGTGCTGTTTTACTGATGTGTTTGACACCTGCATGTCCAAAAGAAATAAATGGCAAACATACTGTATATATATATATATATATATATATATATATATATATATATATATATATATATATATATGTCTCTTGTTTTATATAGTTTAGTCATGATCATGTGAGAAACTCTGAACTGTTATCTTTGATCACAGGAATAAATTACATTTAGCAATATATTAAAATAGAAAATACTTAATTAAATAGTAACAATATTTCACAGTATTACTCTTTTTACTATATTTTTGATAAAATAAATACAGCCTTGGTGAGCATCAGAGACTTCTGGATAAATTGTGAACCACCATTTTTTTTTTGTGTGTATAAATGGAGATTACGATTCTCCCATAATTCTGAAAAGACAACTCAACAAAATAACATGCAATTTACTAGAGGTTCTGATAAAATGTCAAACGGTGTGCATGGGGTACATGCAACTCCGACACTAGGTATCCCGAGAGGCTGGGCGACGGTGTGTATTTTTTACCCTTTCCCAAGCCACATTTCAACCGAGATAAGTGTCTGCTCTGGATAGTTATGCGGTAGACCACAACACCAACTAAACATGGATAAATTTAAGAAAAAGGACCCAAGGTCTATGGGACCAAGGAGCAGGACCGGAGCACAGAACGTTTTAATACATTTATTAGTGCAAAATGACCAACGTTATAAGTTACGTTACACAACAATCTCAAGATTGTTGTGTCCTGTTCCGAGAGCACTGGCTAGGCTGAGGCGCAAGTGATTCCTTTTTATGAATAAATTTAACTAGAATTAAACAAGGATGTCTACATCTGTTCTAAATCAACAACGTATTTGAACGTTATCTTTAACATCTCTAACGTAACGTTAGGCTAACATTAACCTAACATTAGCTGCGTTGTACATCATGTCACTTAGCTTCATTAATGTATCTTTAAATAACCGAGATAACAAATGTTAGCAATGTTGTGCTGAAAGATTCATGTACATACTGTAGTGCATGAACAATGCTGATCCTCTATCTTGTTGTCTGAGATGGTGATGGCAACGAGATGTGGTTTATCACGTTTACACTGTGACCTTTAAATTTTAGCCTGAAGCTGAAGCTTTTCATCGACCTTCTCAACAATAAAATTATTAATATAACCCTCCAATGAAGAGTTAAGGCCCTTTTGGTGACTTCGAGCGAGATGATATACACTCACCTAAAGGATTATTAGGAACACCTGTTCAATTTCTCATTAATGCAATTATCTAATCAACCAATCACATGGCAGTTGCTTCAATGCATTTAGGGGTGTGGTCCTGGTCAAGACAATCTCCTGAACTCCAAACTGAATGTCAGAATGGGAAAGAAAGGTGATTTAAGCAATTTTGAGCGTGGCATGGTTGTTGGTGCCAGACGGGCCGGTCTGAGTATTTCACAATCTGCTCAGTTACTGGGATTTTCACGCAAAACCATTTCTAGGGTTTACAAAGAATGGTGTGAAAAGGGAAAAACATCCAGTATGCGGCAGTCCTGTGGGCGAAAATGCCTTGTTGATGCTAGAGGTCAGAGGAGAATGGGCCGACTGATTCAAGCTGATAGAAGAGCAACTTTGACTGAAATAACCACTCGTTACAACCGAGGTATGCAGCAAAGCATTTGTGAAGCCACAACACGCACAACCTTGAGGCGGATGGGCTACAACAGCAGAAGACCCCATCGGGTACCACTCATCTCCACTACAATTAGGAAAAAGAGGCTACAATTTGCAAGAGCTCACCAAAATTGGACAGTTGAAGACTGGAAAAATGTTGCCTGGTCTGATGAGTCTCGATTTCTGTTGAGACATTCAGATGGTAGAGTCAGAATTTGGCGTAAACAGAATGAGAACATGGATCCATCATGCCTTGTTACCACTGTGCAGGCTGGTGGTGGTGGTGTAATGGTGTGGGGGATGTTTTCTTGGCACACTTTAGGCCCCTTAGTGCCAATTGGGCATCGTTTAAATGCCACGGCCTACCTGAGCATTGTTTCTGACCATGTCCATCCCTTTATGGCCACCATGTACCCATCCTCTGATGGCTACTTCCAGCAGGATAATGCACCATGTCACAAAGCGCGAATCATTTCAAATTGGTTTCTTGAACATGACAATGAGTTCACTGTACTAAAATGGCCCCCACAGTCACCAGATCTCAACCCAATAGAGCATCTTTGGGATGTGGTGGAACGGGAGCTTCGTGCCCTGGATGTGCATCCTACAAATCTCCATCAACTGCAAGATGCTATCCTATCAATATGGGCCAACATTTAAACGCTTCTGTAGACATCAGTGTTTATATCCAAACTATAAACTTTTATCCCAGTACTTCTGTGATATTATTGTAACAGAAGTAATGATACTGTGATGTTGAAAAGACTGAAGCTTTTAACGATTCTATTATCTGTTTTTGTTCACAGAGCTCCACGCTTTAAAGGCTTTCAGCAGCAGGACAGTCAGGAGCTGCTGCGGTACCTTCTGGACGGCATGCGGGCGGAAGAAGTGAAAGTATAAACCTCTAACAGCACATGACGAACTCGTGTCTGCTTGTGTCTTCCTTTGCCATCTCATTTGATTATAAGGAATGCTTGAGACATTTTTATTTAACCGTGTCCTGTTTGTTTATTTTCTGTATTTTTCAGAGAGTAAACTCTGGAATTCTGGGGGCTTTGAAAAACTCTGGCAAAAGCTTAGAGGCCGAGCAAACGAAGAAGGTTACTAAAGGTACAAGTCACTATCAGATTACCACAATGACAAATGATATATTATAATGTGAATTTCTCAGTCCAGGTAACATGGAGGACGAGTAAACATTGTTCATTTACATATATTACCGACATTGTAACAATACAAAGCTGGTTGAAATCTGCGAAGTTGCACTTTAAGGCAAGATTAAACCCAAAGCTTGTTTATCATAACATGATGAGTATTATTAAATGAATAAGTTTGACTTTCTCTCGCATCGTTTTCACCAGAGTATGAGAGAAACGGTGCACCCAAGAACTTTGTGGACCGAGTGTTTGGTGGAGAGATGAGCAGCACGGTGATGTGCAAAGAGTGCAGGACTGTGTCTCTGGTGACGGAGATGTTTCTGGATCTGTCTCTTCCTGTAGCTGATGAGGTCAGATTCATACAGCTGCTCTATCCCTCAAACACTTTGGCTCTTCCTTCTGGCGAAATGCTCATAGTTGCTGTTGTAAAGCGCGAGCATGTTCTGGGGGACGTGGACTGATTTGAGTCTCTTCCTCCAGGCCTACAGGAAGAAGAATCAGAAGAAAGTTGCTCAGTATCGCAGCAGCGTCAGTGACTATGGAGATCAAGACAGCACATCATCTCTGGCCAATGGGAATGAAGACATGCCTACAGGAACAGGAAGCAAGTACCAGCAGAAGAAAGCCAAGAAGCAGGCCAAGAAACAAGCCAAGGTAAAGACGCAGTGTCAAACATTTCAATTTTGACAACTCGCGGAATAGTTTAAGCATGTTATTGAATAGGGCAATGTTCATGTATTTGGTTTCGGCAGATTAGATCTGCTTCGCTGCTTCTGCTTATAAATATAAACTTGCTACTACCAATAAATACACATACACAAATACACGCTTCTGTGAGCATGTAAGATATGCTGCTGCTGCATAAAGAGACAAGCATATATCCCATAGCAAATCTAGGCAGGTGGAGCTGGGGGAGGTGGAGGGTTTCAGAGGAACTCTGATAGCGCCACACAGAACTAGCTTACAGCAAACAATGAACCAGACTATGTTGAGCAAGCAATCTCATTGGCTGCAGGGTCAGCAGAGGTCAATCAGCTTGTGCCATGTGGTAATAATGTGATTGATTGCAGATTGCATGTAAGGGATCAGCCTGCGCCCTCTAGAGTTTCATGACTGAACTTATATATATATATATATATATATATATATATATACTGTATATTTAATGTTTTTTTTCTCTCCCTACATGTTTTCCACATATCATGTTCCATTGACTTATTTTAGTATCAAGTAGAATACCGCCAATCTGTGATACGCTTATATTTTGGCTTTTGTATCCATAGAATCAGAGACGGCAGCAGAAACTGGGCAGTAAAGTCCCTCTGGAACCTCTGTCCAATCAGAGCACAGCTAGCAGCACCGATCCAGCGGACGGCTCCGGTCACAGTGTGGCAGAAAATGGCTGTGCTGATGTGGAACCAGTTAAAAACAGCCAGGAGCATTTGATCCTTGAGAAACCTTCTGCACAATCACTAAATGAGGATGAAGATGATGAGGAACCCGAGCAAGAGCATGCCACTGCTGGCAAGAACCGCTTCACTGCCTTATCCGAAGACCAGACCTCTGAAGATGTGTCTGTAGAGGGAGACAAAGTGGAAGAGGTGAATGAAATTGAGGAGGAGGACGGTGCTGACCAGCTTTGTGCTGAAGAGGATCAGTTAGTCGAAGAACTGAATATTATGTCACTAAAAACAGCTTCAGAAGGTGAAATGGAGAATGGAGATGATGCCTCAGTTGACGTTAAAGAATACACTGTGGTGAATCAGGACCCTGAGCTCGCCTTTCACGCACTGACCAGCAGGGAGGCGCCAGAGAAGAAGGAGTGTTCGGTGGAGTCCTGCCTGTATCAGTTTACTGAGGTGGAACATCTCACAGAGAACAACAGACTGATGTGTTTTACCTGTACAAAACGCCAGCCTGGACATAAAGCCTCAGACGGTACTGTGCTCACCTTTTACAATATTTACTATATTAACAGACTTAGACTTTTTTTTTTGTCAGCTGAATCCCTTTGACGTTTCAGTTAATGGTCACATGATATGCTAGGAAACATGAAATATCTAGGACTATTGTGGCTATTTTTATATATATATATGTGAGTATTCATAGACAGATAGATAGATCATAAATAAGCATTGCACATTGTTTACCTGTGTTTGACACTATTTTTTTTAGTTATTGAACACAAAACTTAGTTTATCATAAAGCTCAATTGTGACAGCAGTGTTTCTAAACTGATTTGTGTCGTCATGCTTCAGGTGGTAAGAAAGCTGTTTACAGAGATGCACTGAAGCAGATGCTGATCTCTCATCCTCCAGCAGTGCTCACACTTCACCTGAAGAGATTCCAGCAGGTAAAACACCTGGTTCCCCCTGTCCCAGACCTCGCCACACTGATACACTCAAAGGAGTCTCCATTTAGACCCTTGTTTTGTCATTTGTTTGCCTGTAGGTTGGATACAGCGTTTGTAAGGTGAACAGACATGTGCACTTTCCTCAGATCCTGGATCTAGCTCCTTTCTGCTCTTTAAACTGCAAGGTGAGCAAATGAACATTTTTTTTCACGTGGAGCTGCACGATGCTGGATTAGCTGAGAATCAAGATGTTTTGTGTGTGTTTAAAATAGAGATCATGGTTCTCCAACGATTCTGAATGGACAACTAAACAAAATAATTTACTAGAGGTTCTGACAAATTGTTAATTGCTGCAGTCTATTTAAAAAAGATTTAATTTGAATACATTTTTTTTATTTTTTTATTATTCAGTTTGAACGAATGACTCACTCATAAAGATGTCACCTGTTTCATTACTAGATAATGAATCCATTTTTGATTCAATGACAAATACAGACATGCCACTTACTGGTGTAACGACAGTGCTACAAATACTTGTAATCAGACTACAGTTACTTTTCTATTGATTACATGATTACATGTTATTCTCACAATGACAGTAAACTATTCATAATTCATTGATTTTAAAAGTCTACTGCTTCAGAAGGTCTTCCAGATTTGTGTAATCACACACACACACACAGACCAGCATTAACATCTTCTTTTTTTAGCATAAAAAACTTTTATCTCAGTTCTTTTTTGTGATCATTTTAATATTTGTAACATGGAAATAATGATATTGTGATGCTGAAAAGACTGTTTGCGAAGATGTTTCATATCTGCACATGACAACTGCGGCAGCGCCAGCGCAGATCTGAATGTTCACTGTGATCACAGGCTACTTGTCGACGGTTTAATAGACATGGCTGAATCGTTGTGCTTTAGGAATGAGATCGTGTGGGTGTTTGAATCGAGATTGTGATATTTTACCAATAAATCATGCTCCTATATGAGCACGCAGTGCATCAAACTCTGTCTGTGTTTTTAGGGTGTGAAGGAGGGAGAAACGCAAGTGCTGTATAGTCTTTATGGCATAGTGGAGCACAGCGGCACCATGCGGTCCGGACACTACACGGCCTACGTCAAATCACGACCCTCCACGCACAATTACGTAGAAAACGGGTCGGCTGCTGGTTGTGAGTATCAGCGCTGTTGAGTTCATGATTTCAATGAGCTTTATTTATATACCGTATATACCCGAATATAAGACGACCCCCCCCATTTTCCAGATTTATTTTTGGGGAAAAATAGATTTTTTGGGAAAAAATCTGGTTTTCAACAGAAAATTATTTTAAGAGCAAATTTCCGAGGCGTTGTTCCAAATGCCTCGCATCACCTGTGCCTCGTGTAGTAGAGGCCCGCTAGTCGGCGGAGACCGGCACATATGCGCTTCCTGATTGGCCATGACTGCGGCTGCCCTGAGTGCGACGGGATGGATTTAACCACCCTGCAGGGTCGTCCGGACGACGATCCGGCTCCCGCTCTCTCTCTCTCCCTCTGCTCGAGCCGCGCAAGAAAAAGCGTCCACATATCGCGTCTTTTGCTCGCTCAAGTTCGTTATTCCAAATGTAGGCGCGCGGTATGCGCGCTCATAATGAAAGCCTAATGATAGTCAAGAAAAAGACTATCGATTCCTCCACTCGAATATAAGATGACCCTGAATATAAGACGACCCCCCATTTTTCAGCCTATTTTTAGGATAAAATCTCGTCTTATATTCGGGTATATATATGAACACGCAATAATGTTGGAGACTGAAAAATCAAGGCATTGCATACATTTAGCTGGAAACCAAGTGACATTATTATTATTATTTTCCAATCATCCTCTTGTCGCAGGTAACGCTGAGGCCAGTAAAGGCTCATGGTTCCACATCAGCGACAGCAGCGTCCATCCCGTTCCGGAGGCCAAAGTGCAGAGTTCCCAAGCCTACCTCCTGTTCTACGAGAAGATCTCATAACCCAACGTGAGGACTGAGCTTCAAAACAAAGGGCTGGTGGTGCTTCTCTCCGACTGCTGGGACATCCGGTTAAAACGCAATGCAAATGGATTGAAAACTTTGAATCAAAGTTGTGTGTATGAGCATCTTCTTTTATGTTTTTTTTTCTTTCTCTGCATTATCAGCTGCTGTTCAGGGGAAAGTTTTCATTCATGCAAACAAGATGCAAAACTTACTTGTGATCATTTCTGTTTTTTTAATTGAAGTTAATAATGCTCAGTGGGGATTGGAAAGTGATGAAATGTTTTTCTAACCTCTAGATCATGGTTTGATGAGGCTTTGAAGTGGTCATTTGCCTCATATAGCATTTCTCAAAGTATCTGAGTGTCCTGCACAATCTTCCAGGACTCTGCTGCCAGGAGAAATAGTCATTTTGAGTGAATCTCATGAAAGTCATATTTCACCCTAAAACCACAGGTATATATTGTAGGTATAGTAATGAGAATTGTAGGGATATGTACTTAAATGTCAGGGGTAAATATATATATATATATTTACCCCTGACATTTAAGTACATATCCCTACAATTCTCATTAATTTTATTTAAAGATTTTTTTTTTTCATTACAAATCTAATTTTTTAATGATGTAATGCACTTAGTGATCATGGACACATTTTTAAAATTTAGTCAGTCTATTAAATTCAGTACATTCAAATAATAATTTGTAAACATACATCTGTACTTAAAATAAATAAGTAAACAAGGGTCTTAGAAATAAGTTTAATTTTCTTTATTCAAAATAATTAATTTAATTAATTAAAATAAGGACTAAAAATATTACCAAGACATGACTTTACAGCATGAGATTCATACCATTTTGTAAAACAGAAATATATATTGGTTCAGAAATAGCCTATATATTGGTACAATTTTATATTACATTAAATGCCTTCCTGCCCTCTAATATAATGGCATGAGTCAACTTCAACATGAAATTTCAATATATGAACAGATTCTGAAGACACTTTAGGATTTTTTCCCAAAATAAAACAACAACCTCAGAGCACTGAAGCTCAAAATAAATGACTACCTTCAAATGAAATGTTTTGTGTTTGTTTGTTTTCTAACATTTTAAGAAGCTAAAATACAAAAATAAAATAAAATGGACAATTTTATCTTCTGACAGTTGTTCAAAACGAGCGTCCAAGCGTCTCTTGAAACCTTCAAACAAGAGAAGTTCATAGACACGAAATTATTGAGCGGCACTACTAGCTAATACTATAATCTGTTTATAAACCTCCTTCCTCGAGGGGGCGCGTGACGGCTCGAGAAGAATTTCAGTATTTTTGTCTGCTAAAAAGTATAATCTTTTCAGTCTAATAAACTAAAGGTTTGGCTTCTGGAGTACATTTTAAAAATCTGAAGTATCAGTCGCTGCAAAATTATTGAATAAAACGCCCGTGTCCTTAAATCACAAACTACTGTGATTGTAAAGAAACCACGTGACAAGAGCCATTCTCTCAAGTGTAGTACGAGCAATAATTTACACCATAATAATGAATATACATATATATAGCTACTAAAGTTGAAAACACATGAGAACTTCCGGGCCACTACTACCTAATCAGCTTGATCAGCATTTGCCACTCTAGTTTTCTGTGTTTTCTCGCTATGGCGGGAGTTTAGAACTGAGCTCGAGGGGGAGCGGTCTCCACATGGTCTCCACGGTAACTATCAAAGCCGGAAGTGCCGGGCTCTCTAAAGGTAAGCAACAATAACAGATACAAACAAATGAAATCTACTCCGCATTCAGTTAATATAAACGAACAGTTTATTTAATTTGTTGTGACAAATTCTTTCATTTAATTAGTAGATGTTTTGTTGATCAAATTTCCCGATGTCACTTAACGCCGGTGCGTGTTTGTGCGTTTGCACTGATTTAAATCCCATAATGCCATTATATTCTTTGAGAAGGGGTTTCAGATAACGTTAACCAACGACATTTACATTAAATTATATAACGTATATTTACATGGTAACATTAAACAATTCTATATGTCTGTTTAACATCTATCTATCTATCTATCTATCTATCTATCTATCTATCTATCTATCTATCTATCTATCTATCTATCTATCTATCTATCTAGTAATGTCCAGGCCGGTGATCTGTCCCCTGACTGTGGGGGCCACGGCTCCTGAGTCTCTCTCCGTGTTACAGAGGCGTCTTCAGAAAGCGGAGGAGCAGACGGAGGAGTTGAGGAGGAGTCTGGGCTCTTTGGGAGCGTCTGCAGATCAGCTGCTCGTGAACTCTTCCAACTCCTCTAAGCGGCGTCCGGTCAGTCCTGTGAACATCCACGGGCCCCTGAGTGCCACAGGAGAGGGTTTGCTATGGAGTCAGAGTGAAACGCTCGTCGCACGTGTGTGCAGATTAGAAAGTGTTTTGCACACTCTGAAACTCACCATCTTCCGTCTGGAGATGAACAGAGAGCTCAATCCATCTCACACAGGTCAGCATGTATATATATATATGCACACACTCTGACGACCAAAAAAAGCTCCTGTTTGGATTTAAATGGGCAAATGCTTAAGAGTTTATGTGATTGGATCATTATTGCAGGGATTATGTTTCTAGCATGTTATATGTTTGGCAACAGTTCTTCTAACCCTAACTGATGTGTGTAGCTTTTCATTTCTTAAACCATTTAGGAAGACACATCATGGCCAAATACCAGGATGACAATGTCAAGATTCATCAGGCTCTGATTGTGTAATAATGGTTGGAAGGTTTTGAATTAAACTTTTTCACTCACCAGCCAATTTGGCTGCTAAATTTTTAAATTACCGGCCATTCAGAACTTCTTCTATCCAAAAAGTAAATAAATAAATGAACCAGATTAACTAAGTAACATCATATATATATATATATATATATATATATATATATACATAAAATTTTGGATTTCATACATTCATTTCTTATTCAAACAACATCTTTTCATCCAGCCATCTCCTCCCTCCTAGGATATTGGAAAATAACAATGTCTTTTCTGTTAACCAAATGCTTTTTAATATTTTACCATTGCTTCAATGCAAATGAAAAGCGTGCCGTTGTTTATTGTGTAGTGACGGACATCAAGTAAGCCAGATATGTCCAGATTTTGCGCAATACGCTGTATTTAATATATCATGATGACTCACGAGTTGAGTATTTGCGCTAAATCTGCACAGATTTGGCTACACAAAATTTCCCAGCAAAGTGAGTAACATAATAAGTAACACGCCAAATTGGCTAGTGCTTTGACAGCGTGACCCGCCACAGTTGATTCTTACCCGCATCTGGCGGGTGTTCATTTCAAACCCTGCATATGAAGAATCATTTTCACACCTGAATTGGCATCTTTACAGACTTTACAGAGTGCTGGACTCTTGCACCGTCAATACAAGATCTTGACCAAAAATTGATGCACCTCTTGATGCAAATAACATCACAACATTTATTTTCATCTGGAGGTGCATCAATATTAGTCACTGTAATAATGATTCAGTCATTGACTCTTAAGCATTTGCCTTTTTAAATCCAAACTGCAACTTTTTTGGGGACCCGGCTATACACACACACACACACACACACACACACACACACACACACACACACACACACACACACACACACACACACACACACACACACACACACACACACACACACACAATGCTGGGTAGTAACTGATTTACATGTAATCTGGATTAGGTAATTAGATTCCAAAAATCTAACCAGCCACTAGTCATGTGACTATCATTTAAAACCAAGACCCATAGCATTTGATCACTGGATTTATAGAAATAATTTCACTTTTAAAGAGTGATTTCTCAACATTGCAATATCAAATCAACTCTTGCCTAACACATTCATTATTATTTGCATCATCACTCAGTGAGTCATTTAACTGTGTAACCATCCAGCAATAGTCTATGGAATAATTTCAAAACTGAATTTGTGTGAGACAGTAATCTAGTAAGAGTGTGTGTGCGCGTCATTGTGTGCATGTGCGTGTGTGTGTGTGTGTGTGTGTGAGAGAGTGATTTTTGTACTTGTTTTGTCTGCATTCATCTGTGGGCCCTGCAGGAGACGGGTTTGTAATCTCCCCTCTGTGTGTAGCTCTATTATCCGCCCTGCAGGAGCAGCATGAGGAGGAGCAGCGCTCTTCACACCGGGACCTTCTGCATGTACAGGACGAGCTGACGCAGGCCTGCGAGGAGAGGCAGGAGGCGCAGCGGGAGGTGCTCCGACTCAGAGAGGCGCTGGAGAATACCAACTCCACTAAAGTAAAATAGCTATGGGCTCATTCATTAATTAAGGCAGGGTAGGCAGTTTATTTCTAAAACACTTTTTCGCAAATTTGTTTCAACTGTCTTTATATACCAATACATATCTAAAATGTAAGTACTCTGAAAAGGAGAGTATAAAAATCGAGTGTCTGTAGTCCTCTCAGGGCTGCAATAAACACAGCTACTTATTCCATTCGGAACGAATGCAATGATTGGCTGGGCAACTGTCACTCTCCCTCGCTACCATGGCCACCACCCCTGCTGCTACCGGAGCCGCCCACATGCGCGCACCCGGTTGACTCGCTCATTTCGAAAGAGGAGAGGCACGTACCGGCCGGAAGCTAGGAAGTCTCACGATTATGGCAGAGAAAGAGCAGTCAAAATCCCCAGTACCACCTGTACCTGCATATTAGGGCTGTCACTTTACGTTCGAAAATCGATTGCACAATCGATCGGACCCACCAACACAAGTTTCGAAAACGAAAATAGGGAATCGATTTTAATGGGCTTTTTTATTTTTTTATTTTTATTTTTTTTAAACCAAAAATGTGTTTTAGGTGGACAGATCAATACAGTATCAGAATATGTAGGATGCTGGAAAATAACAATGTCTTTTCTGTTAACCAAATTCACTATTACTTCAATGCAAGTGAACAAGCGCGCCGTTATTTGTTGCGTAGTGACGTGTGTGTGTGTTCAAGTAAGCCAGAAATGCGCAGATTCTGTGCAATACGCTGTATTTAATATAGCATGAGGACTCACGATTTGCGTATCTAAATCCGCGCAGATTTGTCTTACACGAACTTCCCCAGCAAAGTGAGTAAACATAGAAACACGCCAGATTGGCTCGTGATTTGACAGCGTTTCCCGCCAAAGTTCATTTTTACCCGCGTTTGGCGGGTCGGAGGGTGTTAATCTCAATCCCTGAATGTTGCACTCCTGTTTGTCATTGTGCACGAAACTTCACGCCAATAAATAATCAGAAATATTGCGACTTGTGCGTCTCAAGCGCCCTCTTTACGCTCGTCCTAATGCCTGTTAGGTGTCCGTGGATTTGCCTATGTTTGGTGTTGAAAATGGAAACGTCTTTAGACATGGAAAATCGATTTTTACAATCGATTCAATGAACACTTATGTCTCAAAAATCGATCAGGATTTTTACACAGTTTCTCAAACTTACCTACCCTGCCTTGAAATATTTGTGCTTTTAATAATTAATTTGTCACACAATGAAAAATGCTGAAATGTGTTAAAACAACCTTTTAGTAAATAGTTACCTGGTTATCTGGCATTCAAAAATGTCTTATGTTCCCCAAGGCTGCATTTATTTGATCAAAAATACAGTAAAAACAGTAATATTATTAAATATTATTACAATTTAAAAAATAACTGGTTTCTATTTGAATATATTTTAAAATACAATTTATTCCTATGATGGTAAAGCTGACTTTTCAGCATCATTACTCCAGTTTTCAGTCCCATGATCCTTCAGAAATCAGTCTAATATGCTGATTTGATGCTCAATAAACATTTCTGATATGATCAGTGTTAAAAGAACAGCATTTATTTGAGATCTTATTTGAAATCTTTTATAACATTATAAATGTCTTTACTGTCACTTTTGATCAATCTAATGTGTCTAATTGCTAAATAAAAGTATTAAATTAAAAATGTACATCTATTGGTTCAACTGATATCTAAATAATGTCATAAATATGGTAATTTCAATCTCATTTGATATCTCTTGACCTCTGAATCTGTTCACAGAAGGAGGAGCAGATGGCGCAAGAGACCGCAGCACACTTGGAGGCTGAGCAATCCCACAATGCACTGCTGCGGAGAGTGGAGGAGATGGAGAGAGTGGTGGAGAGGGAGAGAGGCCAGGTAAACTGAAGGAAAGGACTAGAAAAGGTTCACAGTATATCCTCGTTTACTGCGATCTTACTTGCATATTTAAAAAAAAAGACTTGTCTGATTGATAAATATACTTGGAGAAACTACAGTAGTCAACATTTGAAGTGGATCAAAACCTTTCATCAAAGTTATACTACATGAATTTTGAACAATACCTGTTCTTGTCTTAGGATAACTTTGATTAACTTTTTTGATCCACTTCAAATGTTGACTACTGTAGAATACCTCATTACACCAAGCAATGCCCAGAGCAACCATCCAGAACACCATAGCAACACCTTAGCAACCACCCTGGATGTGTTTTATAGTCATAAACAGCTAATTTAATCTTTCTATTCACTATTTGCTGGTGTCTTATCAGGTAGAGGTTCTTCAAGGAGATTGCCACATCTTACGTACTGACGGACAGGCAAACAGGGCGGAGCTAAAGAAGAGGGAGGAGCAAATCCTGTACCTGGAGAGAGAGTGTCAGCAGCTCCGAGACCATTCCAGTCAGAAACATTGAATTATGGGACATTTAATCTTGGTTTATGCTACTGTATTGTGAAACTAAAATGTTTTGTCTCCTCTCAGGAGTGAAAGAGACTCTGATATCACAGCTGAGCAAAGAGATCAAGGTACGAGCATGTGTGTGTTAGAGACACTGATAGCATAGCAGTAATGACACGTCTCATGATGTCCGTGTGTGTTTAGAGCGTGAAGACGGCTCTGCAGAAGCAGCAGCAGGACAACAGCAGACTCTTCAGAGATGGACGAGACCTCAGAGCAGCTGCAGATCAAGTTCAGGTACACAAACACACACACACACACACACACACACACACACACACACACACACACACACACACACACACACTCTGTTTAGCATTATATAATTATGTTAGCTCCACAAAGCCAACATACTGCCATTGTACAAATATGGATTAGACCTATGGTTCTCAATTTTGTATGGTGATGTCCCCAGTTGAAAGTAGAAAAAGTTTTGTCCGCCCCCTCCCCCCCCATAATCTGAATATGTTTAACATATTGTATTATGTATTAGAATATTAATAAAGGGTAAAAAAAAAGAGTGGGCTACAGTATTAGCAGTTACGTCATGTTAAAAGGTTTTTATTGTAAAATTTCTATGAAAAAACCCTATTTTCTGTGGTATGCTGAGCTTTTTAATTTTTTTCTGGCAAATAACATTTTTGTTGACAGAAACAAAAGATAAACAATTGAAACTTAATAGATTATTTATTTTTTGACTGTTTTGAATAATAAAGTTAGACCATTCTGTGTTGAAAAATGTACATAAAACGTTTAAATTATTTATATAGTATATATTATGACATTAGGGGAAAATACTGAGCTACAATATTAGCAGTTATGTTAAACGTTTTAATTGAAAAATTGCTGTGACAAACAACAATAAAAAAACACGATATTTTTTTCACTGTTTTGTTTGAATAATGAAGTTACACACTTTATTGGAAAATAAAACTGAATTAACTTTTATGTGAAACAGCTTACATTCTGTTTTTTTTTTTGTTTACTCTTTGTGTTGCAAAAATGTACATAGAACGTTTCAATTATTAAAAATAAATAACTAAATAGTGACAGTGTTTGGGGAAAGTTACTTTTAAATTAAAATATTGTGTTACTTTTTATGGAAAGTAATACGTTATTTCATTTTTGCGTTACTTTTTCTCACTTTAGCGGGTTTTGCTTGTTTTTCTAATAACAACAGAGCCATAGAGAGAAAGAGTTGCGACACTCTTTGATGTCGCCGCGACGGCTGTCACGTGGTTCATGTAAGCCCCAATAGTTCCAAAACACACGCGGGCTGTCATGTTCTGCTATGGAGAGACAGCAGCGATTGCATTATTAAACTGTAAATATAAAATAAAACACACACCCAAGTACTTTTTAAGCTGTTATTGCATTTTGTTAATGTCAGTTTTGCATTTGGAGAGGCAGGGTGACAACTTAGATAAGTTTTAGGCTATATTTTTGGAGGGAAAGTGTTCATGTTCGCATGGGTAGTAGCACTGGCTTTAGCGGCTCTAACTTAACTTTTCCATGTCATTCATCTGATGATGGACGTCTCATGATATTTATTTTAGCACAACTGGGCTGTATAAGGCTATTGATTCTCGTGATCTTGCTTATAAATTCCGATTCAGCCATTAGCCTACCTTCGTGATCACGCAAAGAGGTCTGCAGTCCGTTCAGAACTCCAACCAACATAAAATATAAATAATTACGCTGTGCATGTACAAATGAATGATTTAGGAGGGAAATAGACTGCTCCCATAATGTAGAAAGCAACGACTATATACAGCAATGTTCGGTAAATATTCAACCGAAAAATATTCTTCATAAAATTAAACCGGAGAGATGAGTGAATTAACTATGTTCCTAAATACATATAAGCACATGCATAACCCTAACCCATTTAAATAAATGAATTGTGTGTGTGTGTGTGTATGTATAATATTATATATAGGCTATATATATATATACATACATATAAAATATTATTACAAATATTATTTATTAGTTACCGTAAGTTAGCTAACGTTAGTGAAGTGTTGGTCACGTAAGCTATCGCTGCAATTAACCTATTATCTTCCAATAAACATTTACTAAAACTGGCTACATAAAATATAACTACAGACTAGATTCACGAGAGGTCGGCTAATGTGTGTAAAAGTAAAAAAATACAGTAATTTCATTAATTTACCAGCGAGCGTACTTCGGAAGCACTGAAAATGAATGGGGTTCAATGCTGGAACTATCAGTGTTTGGAACTATCGGCCGCTCCACGACACGCGTTACTTCCGCATTCCTAAGTTCCAATGGCGGTCTATGGGAGTGTCGTAACTCTCTCTCTCTATGGCTCTGGTCAACACTCTTACTTCAGCAATAGAAACAAAACAAAAAAATAAAGTCATTTTTGCTAATTTGTATGGTTGAATTGGATCATTGAATGTCTGCAGCAAAGACAAAAGTTCAAAAAGTGAGATTAAATACATAAATTAAGTTAATTATTTTACAATTAATTACATTTAGTTATTTTACAACGCCTCTGCACTTACTCACGATTTCTCTCAACATGAGGACAGGAGAGCTGTCAGTCAATACATGGGAAAACTTTCAAATTAATTAGTTACTTGAAAAAAGTAATCTCCTGTTACCGGTACTTGTAATGCGTTACACCCAACACTGAATAGTGATACTATGTTGTAGTAGCAATATAAAAGGAATAACTCACCTAAAATAAAAATCCCAATTTACTGCAAAACCATATATGACTTGATTATCTGTGAAGGATGGGAGGATGGTGATTGTAACAGTCCGGCTCAAAAAAGCACATAAAAAGTACCATATAGTAGTGTGTGTATGATTTATTAGCTATATTCTATAATCTTTGAATAATGTGTGAAAACCGACTGAAATGTAGGTTTATATACATTTATTCAGCTTTGTTTAGCCAACAACATTGTTTTTATTGATGAACTTTCCTGTTCTGGTGTAAAAATGTTTGTGCATGTTGTGAATAAAGGTTAAAAGTAGGGGTGTAACGATACCCTCATGTCACGATTTGATACATATCACGATACTGAACTCACGATACGATATTATAGTGCTACTCCAAGACATATGATAAAAGGTTAACAAAAAATGTACTGTTGATTAAAATGCTAACTTTGATATTATATTGTGGGTTTAAATGAATAGGCTTGGACTCTGTGCTTTTAACCCGAGGACAATGGGTTATTCTACAACCAGAATAAAAATATTCATGAATGATTCTGAAGCTGAAAATACAGAATAATTTTAGACGAATGTTCTTGCACTTTTTCACTGACTAGATATATTTTAAATAATGTTGGACACTTTTTACTGGTCAGGTAACATAAGACATTTGGTATTATCAGGACCCACAAATATTTCCCCATTCCATTATTATACATTAAATTCAACATTATAAATAGTAGTTTAATGTAGTACTGACACTTAAACTCTAAAAACTTGAATTTTTTTCTCACACAGTATTTTTTTTTTGGGGGGGGGGGACTATCCACAATACGTACAGGTCCTTCTAAAAAAATTAGCATATTGTGATAGTATGCTATTGATATTGTGAAGTTCATTATTTTCCATAATGTAATGATAAAAATTACACTTTCATATATTTTAGATTCATTGCACACCAACTGAAATATTTCAGTTCTTTTATTGTTTTAATACTGATGATTTTGGCATACAGCTCATGAAAACCCAAAATTCCTGTCTCAAAAAATTAGTATATTTCATCCGACCAATAAAAGAAGTGTTTTTAATACAAAAAAAAAAGTCAACCTTCAAATAATTATGTTCAGTTATGCACTCAATAGTCAATACTTGGTCGGGAATCCTTTTGCAGAAATGACTGCTTCAATGCGCCGTTGCATGGAGGCAATCAGCCTGTGGCACTGCTGAGGTGTTATGGAGGCCCAGGATGCCTCGATAGCGGCCTTAAGCTCATCCAGAGTGTTGGGTCTTGCGTCTCTCAACTTTCTCTTCACAATATCCCACAGATTCTCTATGGGGTTCAGGTCAGGAGAGCTGGCAGGCCAATTGAGCACAGTAATACCATGGTCAGTAAACCATTTACCAGTGGTTTTGGCACTGTGAGCAGGTGCCAGGTCGTGCTGAAAAATGACATCTTCATCTCCATAAAGCTTTTCAGCAGATGGAAGCATGAAGTGATCCAAAATCTCCTGATAGCTAGCTGCATTGACCCTGCCCTTGATAAAACACAGTGCACCAACACCAGCAGCTGACATGGCACCCCAGAACATCACTGACTGTGGGTACTTGACACTGGACTTCAGGCATTTTGGCATTTCCTTCTCCCCAGTCTTCCTCCAGACTCTGGCACCTTGATTTCCGAATGACATGCAAAACTGAGCAACAGTCCAGTGCTGCTTCTCTGTAGCCCAGGTCAGGCGCTTCTGCCGCTGTTTCTGGTTCAAAAGTGGCTTGACCTGGGGAATGCGGCACCTGTAGCCCATTTCCTGCACACGCCTGTGCACGGTGGCTCTGGATGTTTCTACTCCAGACTCAGTCCACTGCTTCCGCAGGTCCCCCAAGGTCTGGAATCGGTCCTTCTCCACAATCTTCCTCAGGGTCCGGTCACCTCTTCTCGTTGTGCAGCGTTTTTTGCCACACTTTTTCCTTCCCACAGACTTCCCACTGAGGTGCCTTGATACAGCACTCTGGGAACAGCCTATTTGTTCAGAAATTTCTTTCTGTCTTACCCTCTTGCTTGAGGGTTTCAATGATGGCCTTCTGGACAGCAGTCAGGTCGGCAGTCTAACCCATGATTGCGGATTTTAGTAATGAAACAGGCTGGGAGTTTTTAAAAGCCTCAGGAATCTTTTGCAGGTGTTTAGAGTTAATTAGTTGATTCAGATGATTAGGTTAATAGCGCGTTTAGAGACCCTTTTCATGATATGCTAATTTTTTTAGACAGGAATTTTGGGTTTTCATGAGCTGTATGCCAAAATCATCAGTATTAAAACAATAAAAGACCTGAAATATTTCAGTTGGTGTGCAATGAATCTAAAATATATGAGAATTTAATTTTTATCATTACATTATGGAAAATAATGAACTTTATCACAATATGCTAATTTTTTGAGAAGGACCTGTATTGTTGCATTTTTGCATTGCGATATATTGTGGCACGATATATTGTTACACCCCTAGTTAAAAGTCATCCTCTCTCTTTCTCTCAGGTGTTGAATGATAAGTTAGAGGTTCAGTGTTCAGAGCTGAGCACTGCACTTCACTCATTAACACTGGAAAACACTCGTCTACAAACAGAATATCAGAACAACATCAAGGTATTTCAGTTCAGTTCCAGTTTTACTGTCATTGGCATCAAAAATAACTGGACATTCTATTGCCAGTTTGTTTTCATTTTAGCTGCTAACAACTGATTTAGTGCATTAATAAGGGCAAAATAATATTTATCCAGTGAAATAACATTAGTTCAGTTTATAGGATTAAAATTAAAATGAGTCAATATGGCAGTAATAGTAACACTGAACAAAAGTTTGCTGATAGAGATTATATTTCTTTCTCTCTCACACACACACACACACACACACTGTTTGTTCAGGCGGAGCGAGATCGTGTGTCTAAACACCTTAAGGAGCAGGATCTGCTTTTAGACACAGCCAGGAGGAACATCCAGGCTGAACTACAGGGCACGATATCAGAGAAACTCGTCCTGCAGAAAGAACTGTGAGTTACACACACATTCACTAGGCTACTATAAAACCTTCACAACTGGTAAATCGTGACCCACAGCGGGGAAAAGACGAACACTCCTTCTTTATTTTGTTGTTGACGTCAAAAGCTGTATCCTAGCAAACGCTACCATGTTTTGGCTGAAATTCATCTTCGATTCAGTCAGATTAGGCAGATGGCAACATGTTGCATGAGATGCCATCATCTTTGAAAAGCATGAACAAAATATGACTGTAAGCTGTAAATGCGCTCTTTTATTTCGTCTACAAGCGAGGCACTGAAGATGGATCACTCCGAGCTGCAGCAGAGTTCCACTGTTTCCCAGGTGACAGCTGTCAGTCATCAGCAGATGTTGGAACGCACCATTCAGAGGCTTCAGGGGGAGCTCAGCTGTGCTGGGAGAGAGGGAGACACCCTGAGAGAAGAGAGGGATCACATGAAGAGGGAAGTGAGTCGAATGGTTGTTACTTTTTGTTGGTGTCATTTCTCAGGCTAAAAGGAAAGGACACGAGCACTGATGTTTAAATGGGTATGAATTAAACTGATAGTACTGGCACTAAATTATAATTGGATGAGGCACATTTAAATCTATAAAAACAACAACAATAATAATTATGATTGTTATTATTATTGTCATAAATATCACAATTTAGCATTATTATTTATATTATTATTGGTGGTGGCAGTAGTAGTATATATTGTTATTAATATTGTATTAATTATAATTATTGTTACTATTATTTTTTATTAATACTATTATTGGTGGTGGTAGTAGTACTAATATATTGTTATTATTATTGTATTAATTTTAGTAATATTGTTATTAATTTGATTAAATAAAAGAGTATTCGTATTATTAATTATAATAATAATAACTATATATATACATTAGTAATTTATCATTATTTTAAGATTATCAATACTTTGATTATCAAAGTAGTAAAATAATGTTTAATAGTTAATCATAATAATTATAATACATTATGTAATTTGCATATACAGTATATACAAATAATAATAATAATAATTTTTAATCATTCAAAATCTGCAATAAATCAATGTGGATGTGCATTATCTCCGTTATGATTTTGTTCCACATTATGCTTGCTAACAACAGCTCTTAACCTTTGGAAAAACTGTACCGCACAACCACTTGTGGCCCGTTGCTTTAATGAACTCTTAATTTCCAAATCTCAGATGAACTCTGCAATCTTCTTGCTGAAAAAAGAGAAGAACATTCTAGAAACACAGCTGTCGGAGATCAAGGTACTGCTGACCAAATGTGAGGTCGCTTCCAGTCTTTCTTTGTCTCATTCAAGAGATCAACTTTTTTTTTCTACTCTTTGTTTGCTGGATAGAAAATAGAGCTCATTTCACCTACTCAACAGATCAGGGTAATATTGCACCAGCTATTACCATAAACATCCTCTTCTCCCCTGTGATGGACAGGTGGAGCTGACCACGGGGAACTCAGCACTGCAGAAACAGAAGGAGGAGAACCAGGAGCTGATGGAGAGCCTGGCAGTCATGGAGCATCAGCAGGTTTGAGATCAAAAGATCACAGAGTCAGACGCACGTCAAAAGAAAATGTGCTTGTAACACTCTTCCTCTCCCAGGTAACTCACCGTCAGGTAGAACAGATGCTGTGGGGCTTGACAGACAGCAAGAACAAACTGGCCTACGAGAAGGGCAAGTTGCAGGTCTGTGACACACACACACACACACACACACACACACACACACACACACACACACACACACACACACTTCGTATGTATATGGATTTATTGCACACATTTTGCACAGTGATGATACATACAATGATGATCAAACAATCAAATGATGAACACACACATTATATAGCAGAAACACACACCAGGTTTCTAATAGACTGTGTGTGTGTGTGTGTGTGTGTGTGTGTGTGTGTGTGTACAGGCACGAGTGCAGCAGATGGCCGCTGAACTGAAGGCATTGAAAGCAGACTGTAATGAACACTGTCAGGCTAACACTAAGCTGCAGTACAGTTACACACAGGTAAACACAAACACCCGTCTGTCTAACAAACCACTGCTGTTTCACAAGCTGTGTGTCGCTGTGGTGTGTGACACCGCGTTTGCACCAGACGTGAGCCGAAAAAGCAGATAAACCCCATTATAATCAGTGATGCTGTCTACACTGGATACGGTGCGACGCGATACGACAAAGCCCAGTTCTATTTGTGACGTAGTCCAAGCGCTCGCGCTAATTCTGAGACGAAGAACAAATAGATTTGCTAACTAAAACTCTCAGACTGCTCAATTAATAGAAGGCCCATATACTGTACTTTCAATTCAATTCAAATTTATTTGTATAGCGCTTTTCACAATACATATTCCTTCATACTTCATACATATTCCTCACAATACTATACTTCATCCTCATCCAAAAAGAGTAGTATTTATAAATATTATCTAAGCAGCAAACTTGACTCATTTAAACCAAATACTGATTAACAGGTAACCCATATGGTACCGTCCGCTAGATTGCGATCAGAAAACATAACATTAACATATGACACACATTTCTTTTTTAAAGCAGAGCATAAGACAAAACACAGTTAGACGATACCATCAATATAAAACACATGAAACAGAAAGTAGGATTTACATGTAATTATGTGATGTGTATATCTCTATTATAAGTTTCTAAGTATAAGTTATATATATATATATATATATATATATATATATGACGGCCCACATTTAACAACATCTATTCTGTGTTCATAATCTTGGCTTGTCACAATAAAGTAATAAAAGCAGGACGTTTCAGTGCTGATTGTTTTATGCATCTGTCACAATGAAATGAATGGGGCTTTGTAGAGGCTGTTATTGAATGATCGAGCACTTAAAAACTGCAAAACGGTGATATAAAACATAATTATGGCTAAAATTATAAGTGGACTGCTGAGTTACACACTCTCGTTCTCAGATGCAGATAGAAAATCAGACACTGAAAGAGCAACTCGGTGCACTACTGCAACAGCACAGAGACACGGTGAGTCTTTCAAAAGAACGAGAATTGAAAGCAATATATTGCATTGACAAAAGATCACATTTTTATGACCGCGTGTGTTTTTTTTGTGTGTTTCAGAATGAAATAGCGCAGACTCTGGAGAACGTCCTGTCGTCTCACGCTCGTCTGCAGCAGAACACACAGACACTGCATGCAGAGCTGAGAGAAAGAGCACAGGAACTACACACACTCAGGAGAGAGAGGTGTGTGTGTGTGTGTGAGAGAAACTATAAGACGACACACGTCTGATTGCAGGAAAGGGATCATTTTTTATGTTGTGCTAGCCAATCATGGCAGCCGTCTTGCACTTGTGACATGGATGCAGCATCACATAAGGTTTCAGTTTTTGAACTTTACAGCTCAAATAACACATTTTTGTATGGAACAATTAATAAAGTGCTTTAACATTTATTCATTTCTGGGGAATGTCTTGCTGCATAGACTTCCATTATAAGTGCATTACTGTAAATATGATTGTTGTTTGTTTTTACTAAGTCAATGTTTTGTCTTTTGTAATCAGCTGTGTGTGTGTGTGTGTGTGTGTGTGTGTGTGTGTGTGTGTGTGTGTGTGTGTGTGTGTGTGTGTGTGTGTGTGTGTGTGTGTGTGTGTGTCAGACTGCAGGCTATAAAAGAGATTCAGAGGCTTGAAGCTGAAGTAGAGAATCACAACAGAACCAATAATGAGAAGGTATGACGCACACAAACACACTGATGACCAAATAAATAAGAGATGAGATCAAGGTGTCTGAATGTTTACACGCTCACATTGAAGGGGGAGTCTTTGCAAAAAGCACTTGATGAAGCTCAGCTGGACAACAGGACACTTGCTCAGAGTTTAGAGCAGGCCTTACGGGAAACCCAAAACACACAGGAGAAACTAAACACCCTCGGCGAGAGGTGAGGGCATGTGTGTTTTATCTGCGGTACTGTTTGTCATTTAAAACCACACACTCGATTCTACATTGTTCATTTTGGCTACTTCATTAATGTCACTTCACATTAGGATGTGTGTTATACTGTACTTAGAGATGCAACGATATTAAAAATTCAGATAATTGGTTTCATGTAATCGCCAATCATAAAGTTCTATATTGCTTTATCTAAATAAAAAAATAAACATTAAAAACTTCAATTTCTTTCAAATGCTACAAGATTGCTACAAATTTAGGCATCACAACATTATGGACTATGGACTAACCCTAACAGTACGAAAAATGGATAGTAAAATAATTATTTTAAGATGCACTTAATGACATTAAATTATTAGTGTTTTAAAGATTAACTTCAAATGGCTGTTCTTTCAATATAAATATGTAAAATTCAATATAATATCAATGTTAATTCAATATAATATATGTAAAAATAGTGTAAAAGAGTATGCACAATTAAATATCCAATACTGACTGATATCGAGGCAATGTCAACTAATTAAAATGAAAAAATCTCTAATATTGGTCAATAACTGATATAGTATAGATTTATCCTGCATCCCTGAATTTTTGCATGGATTTGTGTTGTGATGTGTGATTTCCGCTATTTGTGTTTGGTTATTTATGTATTTACCAGGATCCAGCTGTTCAAATCAAAGGGACCCAGTTGTTTTTTTCCTCCATGTTTTCTTGAGCTCATATTATACATGATTGCATCAGCAGGGAGGCGGAGCTTAACGAGGCAAGGGCAGAGATTGGTCGATTGACGGAATGTGTAGATTCCCTCAAGAACCGGCTCAACAGAGAAAAAGACTCTAGGAGGAAGTCGGCACAGAGGGTAATATTAAATATGTGTTTTTATTTCTATGTAGATTAGTTGTCTTGTGATGTAGTTTTCAATGTATAGCACTTTTAACTACTTACTTTACAAATAAGAATGACTCTGACTGACTCCTGTTTTCTACATAGCTGAAGAAGGCACTAAATGATGCATCAGCAAAGTCAGGTGACCTCTCACAAGCCAATCAGAAGCTACAAGAGAAGGTGTCTGAGCTGGAGAAGCTGGTGTCTCTGTTGAATCAGTCTCTGGACAACAGAACAGCTCTGAGCCACTCTCTGAGAAGCAAGGTGCGTCACTTTACCCATGGTTTACCTCATATCTGTGCTGGATACAAGCTCTCTCACTGTAATACCAACACCCCAGAACTTGCATAAACACAGTTTTTTGCATCGTCTTGCTTCTCCCAACAGGATTTGGAAGCAGAAATTGAAAGTCTTGAAGAAGCTAAGGATGAATACAAGAGGAGGAGTTATGAGCAGGTGTGCATCCAAACTGTTTCAAAAGTTTGCGTTTTCAGGCCCCCCCAAACCCCCTTGTCGTGTAAATAAACGGCCAAAATGCATACTTTTTTTTCCCTTCTGTTTTTGGATGAAAATGGTGTCGTGTAAACGGCCTTTCATTTCTTAAATGTTCGCCTCCATGTCACAATGCACTTTTTTTTGCTCTATAAATGAATTGCATGACTAACTTGCATTTCACTGTGTATTATGCTGAGCATAAAAATGAACACAATATAATGATTAAATTAAATAAAAAATAAATTTTGCTACAATATATTTAGAGTGATTTTGAATCTAATACTTTTATTTGATCTTGTTATACAGAATTAGTATGATTATTGATAGTTGTCATGAAAAAAAAATACATTTATGTATAATGCATAATAATAGGACTCAATAGACTCTAACCATAATTGTCTTGATAAATATTTATCTTTTAAGGCAGAGACTTTACCCTGACCAGACCAGCACTGCTTTAATATTTTAAAAAGCTTAAAAAGTTTGCTTAAAGGCACACTGTGGAACTTTTCAACCTTTATAATATATTACCAAAACCCATTGAGATGGTACATCGACTTACAATAGGTTGAATGACACGTCTGCCGTAGCCTGAAGGTGTCTGTATCGCTTTTCCTAGCACTATGTAACTTCGGGTTTCGGGTAGGAACCCGAGCACAAAAAGAACTACAAAATTCAACGGCTTTACGGCATACGTCACTTCCCCCACCACCCACAACTTCCTCAAATTCTAACGTGAGAGCTCAACTCGCGTTTGATTGCCGTCTGTATGTTTTCGTCATGGCCGAACCAACAGCTACAAGGAAGAAGGCAAAGGTTTTGTCAGAGGACACTAAAAAAAGAAAGAAAAAGGCATAGTGACAAATGAAAAGCCAGGACGAGGATCACCATTGGTCCAGCGTTCGCTCGCTGGCGTGAGCTACAGGAGGAGGAGGGGTGCCCGACCGATGCTGACGCTTGCCTGCACACAAATGCCGTTTCCAAGGTGACCCAGATAAATCATATAAGCAGTGTAGTATTTTCTGGTATTCCGGCCACAGCCGATGGTGTTATGTGTGTAATAAAATGCCCACAGCCCATTGTTCATTTCTACACACAAGCACAGCCCGCCACAGTGCAGGGCTCGCACAAATAAAGTCGACTCATGTCAAATGTACATTAAATGTAGTGAACGTTCCCACGACTCAGTGCCCACAAACACTACACACAACATGTCCCACGGTTTCTGTAAAACGAAACCAACACACATAAGTTACAGTCGGCTCAGGCCGACGGTGTTTTTAGTGCAGTAAATGTGCCCGCCGTCACGCGCCCACATTCACTCAGACATGTTAGCACTAACCCCCACGGGGCTCGCCCCGCTCGCTCTCTCTCAGCAGACTGCTATAAGGGAATCGAGCGCGGCAAGGCTGCCCGCCTTAAACACTGCAAGCACACATAATCTAAAGACACGGGAGGCTGACCCACTGTCTATGGGCGGACCGGTTGACTGTTTGTTGACTTTTGCGACAGTGCTGCGGAGCTTGTGGCCTCTAGGGACGCTAGACGTGAAAGTTACAGGTCGAGCGCCACTAGTGGCCAAAAGTTCCGCGGTGTGCCTTTAAGTTGTATTTCTAAATGCATCCCCTTTAAAGCACAGCTGCTAAAAAATATAACCTCACTTACTTACCGACAACTAGTGAATGTCCTGACCCATCTTTACTCATGTGTGTGTTTCAGTCTCAGTGTCTGCTGCAGATGCGCTCTGAGATGGTGTCTCTCCAGTCTGAGCTGCAGTGTCTGTCCTCCACACAGCAGGGGGAGCTACAGGCCGAAAGAGCTCTCAATCACACCCTACAGGAGCAATGTCAGGTCGGCACTCTCTTTTTCACCTCAAGGCCCCGCCCGATTTACTCACGACGTTCTTTTTCGCTCTTCGCTTTGGGGTAAAAAGTAGTTTGAGCAGCGATATACTGTTAGCGGACATCCAGATGCTGTTCACGCTGCTGAGAGCGACGTTTAGATGGATTTGTTAATATGTGCTGCACACTTTCCTCTCAATAACAAAATAAACACAACATAAATGACAGCGGTGTGAAAACGGGGACCTCGAGGGACTGAACAGAAAAAATTGATTTCCACGTCAAAGAAGGTGGAGCCTCTGTGCACACCTACCTATTACATCACCACCACTGACCAATGGTAGTTCAAATGTGTTTACCAGCAAGAGCACACTTTGCCAGAAAGTTTCAAACTCCCGAAACGAACACAAAATGAACTTTGTTTGGGCCTGATTTTGTTCAGAATTACGTCACACCAATTCGTTCTTTGATATCGCTTGTGGTAAAAATCAAGCTTTTAATGTTGTTTATATGTCTATGTGGTGTTTTTAATATGCTTTAAGACAAACCATGTGTAAATTCATAAGTCGACACCATTGCTGAGTATTTTCTCCTTAAAACTGCAGTGAACCAAAGACGCTGGTGTAATCGCTGGTGTTTCTGACGTCACAAACTACCTTGTAACCAATCAGGTCAACGTGTGATCGTCAACCAGTGGATCTCTGAGCTGGTGCGAGTGAGTGGAGGCGGGGCTAATCTGCATATTCATAGAACCACGTATACTAAATGAGCCAAGGGTGTAGAGTTACATTCAAGCTATTTTAAGACATGACAAAAAAAAAAACGCTTAGATATGTAATTTTGGTGATCAAAGATGAGTTTTAAGGTATAAAATGATTGACTACAGGGGGACTTTAATTATACTGGGGCCTTTAAGCATATGGTACTGTCTCAAATTGTGCTCTCAGTCCTCATGATCCATGTGATATTACTTCACGTGTTCACTTGGAGGATCCGGAGCCATAAATACTCCTTTCATCTTCTTTTTTTTTATCGTTTTCTGTCTGCCTTGTGATTCTCTCTCCATGTCTCTGTTTTTCCTTCCTCTGTGCAGTCTCAGCAAAGCTACTGTTCCCTTCTTCTTCTTCTTCTTCCTGTCTGTTACTCCCTTCAGGGCATCAATACAGCAAGACCAACAAAGTGCTGGAGAAGTGCCAGTATGTAAATAAGTGATCAGGGGTTTTGTGCTGAATGGTGCTGTTAATGTGTTTGTGTACAGCACCTGGAAGAGAGTTCGAAACGGTTCCGGGACGAGAGGGATGAGGCAGAACTGAGACTCCGGGAAGTTTGTCTGGAGTCACAGCAGGTAAACGACCCATATTTCCATCCATTTATACATCAGCAATAATAATAGGGACATATAATGACAGAATTTTACAAGTAAACCAACTGAATCTGAATGCTGTGGTGTTTCCAGTAATGCTCATCTATCGCTTTTTCCAAAGTCCTGAAATTGATGCTCAAATCCATGTCAGAATTTAGATTGCCGCCGCCTCCTCTGATCACAGCCAGTGTTGAAATCATGCGAGCTCTCCAGAGGATGGACACTTCTTTTGCCTTTGATTTGATTGCTCTGTTTCTATCCCGCTTCTCTGTTCCTCAGATCACAGAGAACATGGTTGAGGACCACAGAGGGCTCCGCTCGAGATCGGAGAGCTTTAACTGCGAGGATGAGCCACAGAAACACCGGGAAAGCTTATGGAGGACGGGGAAAGACGGCACACTGTCCACTCCCGCTCAGGTAGCAAATGAGACACGTGAAATAAATTTAGCTATTTTATATTATATTTGTTGAAAATCCATTTATAAGGGTCCTAGTGATCCATGTGTGATTAACTGTCCAGTTGCATCCAAGTCCAAATAAAATTGCATTTAAAAATGACTTATTAAATTATTATTTTGATGATACATTTGACTACATTTGTATGCATGGATTCACTTTTATTCAGCATTAAATTGATCATACGCGACAGTAAAGACATTTATGTTGTTAAAAATAATTATGTTTTAAATAAATGCTGTTCTTTTGAACTTTCTATTTATCAAAGAATCCTGAAAAGATTTATCACACTTTCCACAAAAATATTAAGCCGCACAACTGTTTTTAACATTGATAATAATCAGAAATTTTTCAAATCATCATATTATAATGATTTCTGACTATCATATTATATTGATTTCTAAAATAATGATTTATAATGAAGACTGGAGTAATGATGCTGACAATTCAGCTTTGATCACAAGAATAAATTACATTTTAGAATATAGTAAAATAGCAAATAGTTACATGTATTTTACAATATTATTTTTTTTTACTGTATTTTTTATCACATAAATGCAGCCTTGGAGAACATGTTTTAAAAAAATGACTGATTAAACTTTTAAACAGTAGTGTAAATTAAATATACATTTAATTAATATATATTGAACATATATTTAAATATATCTCTTTATAAATATATATATATAAATATAAATATATATATATATGTGTGTGTGTGTGTGTGTGTGTGTGTGTGTGTGTGTGTGTGTGTGTGGTATTGTATGTATATACATTTATATCTCACAATTTGGTCCCGACCTCATCTCTGGGTGGTTATTTTATCTCAAATGTCTGCTTTGTGTGTTTTATTCCTGACCTGAAAGGTTGTACTTTGTTATTAGACCCACGTTTGCTTTTATGACCCTAAACTGGAGCCCTGGGCCTCAGCATTACAGCGCTGGGAGATGAAGAAGGAGCTGGGAAGCATCGCCGGCAGTTACAAACACACAAGACGCGTACGCACACTGACCAGCTGATAACAGCCTCCAGGGCTCATGGATCATGGAGAAAGGCTTCAGTGCGTGATCTGCTTGAAATGAAATATCTAAAGTAGCTGCGTTTGAATATGCTGGGAAATATCAAGCTTGTTTAACAAATTCATTCAAACGTATAGTAATTATTTTGTCATACTTAAACATAAAAAGTGCACAAGCAAATATACCTTATTTGTGGATGTAGAAAGACAGAGTTGTGACAACCAGAAATGACCTAATTGCTCACAAATGACTCATGCTAAACATGTCATTTCCCTGCAGCCCGTAACAATGCTATTCCATCACAATAATACAAGGTCAAACTCCTACACCTGCAAAGTAAAACCCCAGAAAGTGCAAAAGTAACTACTAGTGTAAATGAAGTCTTGCTGTTAGAAAGGGGCAACCTGTTTTGTATATGTGTATATTTAGGTATTATATGTATAATAGTTTTTATTGCTATATCACTTTTTGTAATGTCAATAAAGCCGCTTGAATCTGAAAAGACAATACTGTAATAAAAGTATTATATATACACGTGTGTGTGTATATACATATATATCATTATTGTGAAATTCAGTGCTCAAAATTCAAATTTTCTTTAGAGTTCAGCACAAACTGAACAGCTCCAATCTGTACAACCAAAGCCCGTCTATTAGACATTCTCTGGTACAACCAACCACTGGCCTTTTTTAAACCCCGCCCACCACTTATATGTCAGCCAACCAGCACATGTCAAAGGCAAAAGAGGATACGTACTCTGATTGGCTAAAAAACATATGGGCTGCTCCTCTGGTTCATAGACATAATATTAGCCGCTTTCCGACCGGAGGGACTTTTGCAGTTCCTAGAACCTAACGTTCCTATAACCCTTTTTTTTCGCGTGTTCCGACCGGACTAAGTTGGGGATTTTTTAGTTCCTCAGACCGTAGTTCCTATAACTCTTTCAGTACCTAGTCTAGAGCGAGGACTTTTTTAGTTCCCTTTCCCTAGGTCTACGTTGATTGGTTCAACTTATAAGTCACGCCCACTGTCAACACATTTTCTTCACTGTCTGTTGCAATTCGCCTATGTAGGCTATGCTAACTCATAACTTAAGACAAACGCATTCAACCAGCTAATTGCTAATGCTAATAACGCATTCAACCAGCTAATTGCTAATGCTTGCTAAACTTACCCGTCGTTTTGTTTGCCTCCTGCGCTCTGCTCTTCTATCTTCTTCCATCATATTATTTAAGATCATATTACGCTGGAGCCTTCGTCTTCTGTGTTTCTCTGTACAGAACTCAAGATCTTTAAACGCCGCCGTTCGTACTCGTTATTAAGGTCCCGGCAAGGCAGAACAGGAACATGCCGATAGTCTCCTCCACGCTGGTTTGTTGTTGTTGTATGTGGCGCCGCCGCCGCCGCCGTGCTTGCGTCACTCCCTTACCCCTCCTACCAGTTCCTATGGCCACTTGGCCAGTGCGAACGCAAACAGCAAAACCGAGTTTGGGGGAGAGTAGTTCTTAGAACTGTTTAGAAGTGGACAGTTCCTATAACTAAGTTCCTGTAACTACTTGGTCGGAAAGCGGCTTATGCTCTGGTTCTTATACTGTTTACAGTCTAGTGCTGTTACAGTATGGAAGCTTGTTTCCGCCATGGAATAAAACATTTTCCAGATCGTTTCGACTTCTTATCTCACAATTTAGACTTAAAAAAAACTCCCCAACTCAAAATTGTGAGTTTACATATCGCACTTCTGACTCAATTCTGAGGAAAAACATCAGCTCGCAATTCTCACATATCACACCTCCGACTTTATAAAGTGTAATTGCGAGTTTATATCACAAATCTGACTTTATTTCTCACAATTGCGATTTTTTTCCACACAATTCTTATAACACGTTATTGTGAGTTTATTTCAAACAATTTATGCCTTTATAACATGCAATTTTGCCTTTATAACACGCAATTTTGCGTTTATTTCATGCAAATGAAAAAAGTCAGAATTAAATAAAATGTTGCAATTACCTTTTTCTACTTTTTATTCAGTGGTGGAAACAAGCTTCCAAGTAAATTGCAAGTAAAGTAGTGGGGGCGTTTTGTGTAAAAAAAAAAGAAAAGTTTACAGCCCTTTTTGGGTCATTGAGTATTCTGATCTGTTGATCGTCTCCGCGTTTCCCCCTGTCGGCAGCGAGGAGTCACTGTCACTACAGATGTTTTCTTTTTTCTTCCACCTCTTTTCCGTCTCTCGTGCCCCCGCAGAGGGAGAGCGTGCGCGTGCTCCTCCTTCTGCGCGCGAGGCTCCAGCTCCAGCTCTGCCACGTAATCTCGGTCGAGCCCCCGCTCACTCACTCACTCGAAACCTCCGGGAACCGTGACAACGACTGCGGAACACTCAAACACACTGTACGAAACACCTCCGGGCGGTGCGCGCGGGTGTAGCGGAACTCACACTGTGGCGGTAAGCGAAAAGTGCGTGGAAGTGTCCCCACGCGCGCGGCGCGAGTGCACGAGACGCAGTCCACATTTAGGTGCGTTTTTAAAGCGCGAGCACAAGCAACATGTGTGTGAAGTGGGATCGGAGACTTTTCGAGTCATTTGCATGCAACAGGTCGTTGATGTGTTGTCTGTAGCAACTCGTTTCATTGTAAACACTGACAAGCAACTTCGACGCAGAAGAGAAACTATGAGGCTCACGCTGTCAATGCAGTAGTTTTTTAGTTCAATAGCAGCCTGGTCTGTGAGCTTGACCGGGACGCCTTAGCTTTTCTCACGGCCAACTCTCATGTGTATTGAGCAGTGATTCTGAGAACGGTAACCTTTTAGTTTTTCTATTCATAAAAGTTCAACACAAGATGTCACAAACACCACCGGTATAGTGCTGATTCATAATGTGAATTGCAACAGCATTTATACACAGTATGGCGCATGTCGTGTTCATGTTATGCTGTATTGTGCTTGGTGGGTTTAGGATGTTTTGTATGTGTGTTATAAAGTGAGTAATAGGGTTTGTTCAGCCAAAAATTCTGTCATTAATTACTCACCTCCATGTCATTCGTTCATCTTCAGAACAAAAATAAAGATATTTTTGATGAAATCTGAGAGCTTTCTGACCCTCCATTGACAGTCTACGCAACTACTAGCTTTCTGAGGCTTGAAAGTAGTAAAGACGTCCTTAAAGTAATCCATGTGACTAATCATAACTTTATGAAGTGATATGAATGCTTTGTTTTCAAAACAATTATTCCCAGCGTGCATTCACAAGAGCACCACAACGCACGCGTGCATGTTGTTTTGACGCGAGAGCAGATACGTGAATGTGTGTTGGAGATTAATATTTTGTAAATAAAGTGATACATTATGTTTTTTTTTGCGCAAATAAAGCTTCATAAAATTGAGGTTAAACCAAGAGTCGCATGGATTACTTTAATGGTGTCTTTTATACCTTTCTGGGGCTTGAAAGTGATGGTTGCGTAGACTGTCAAATCTCTTAGATTTCATTAAAAAGATCTTCATTTGTGTTCCGAAGTCGAACAAAAGGGTTTGGAACGACATGAGGGTGAGTAATTGACGACAGATTTTTTTTATTTTTGGGTGAACTATCCCTTTAAGGTAATCTAGGACATTATTTACTGGTTGTCCACCAACACTTTACCAACAAATTATGACTTGACAAAACCCAGATCAAATATGGCGATGTTTCTTGTTGGACCGGTATATTACATAATTTTGACACTATTAATAAAGGCTTTACAGTCATGGACATTTTCTGAATAATTGAGTATACACTTTTTTTCAAATTGGTTCATTTCAATGAATCACTCCAACAAATTGGCCTGATTGATTCATGAGCGAATCAGTCATATTCAAAGTTATTTTAAAATCCTTATCCATGAATCACAAATGAAACCTTGTTTCAGTTCTGCCAATGGTTTTGGTAGTAGATTTGAACAATTCTTCATATCAGTTTACATGTCATTTGCTCTAATTAAATTGTATATATCAGCATTTATATATAGAAGTATCAACATCAGTCACTGAAAAACTTGTCGCCTGCTCGTAAAGTTCCACATCAGAGCTTCATGTCCAACCTAGATTACCCTGATTCACCCGAGCTGGTCTGCAAAATACTATGAAAATCGGCTTGTTTGTTGATTTTTGAAAGTGGTTTATTTAATTGAATATGTGGTTTTATTTAAGCATGTAGTTCATTATTACACACACGTAATGTGTGCACAAAATCACACAATCTTAAGATTCAGGATACAACACCCAGTTCCTGTTTGCCTGGGTGGGAATTGTGTCTGCGGTTCTGTGTGTGTGTGCGCTACTGCATTTTCACATTCAGATTTCTTAGTCCTGGCCTTTGCTCAGTTTCCATGACTACTGGTGAAAAAACTTACTAAAGGTGTGAAGCCACAGATATGGAGCAATATTTAGGACCTGAGCACCAATGGTGCATTTATTATTAATGTATTTTTATTTTGTATAGACAGCAGTGAATTAAGTGTGACATGCTATACTCCATATTAAACATTTTTCAAGTTAAAAAAAAAATAATAATTGTAATGCATGCATAACTCATTTGACGTATTACAAAATTAAATTCTCACTGCATAATCATTTAACAAAAACAACTTTAAAGGTATTAAAAATTCCCAAATTGTATTATTTATTAATAATAGACTATTTATTGTGCACATTTCATCATGGCACATTATTATAAGGAATCTTTGCAGTCTTTTATCAAAATATATCAACTTACTGTGCCTCAGTTTTTTTACAGTCAACTCCCAATGTATGAAATTAACATTGACTAATATTAAGAAATGCTGTAGTAGAAGTATGGTTCAGTGTTAACTAATGTTAACAAATGACACCTTATTGTTAAGTTTACCCTAAAATAATTTTTTGTTGTTATCTTTTAGCTATATATAAATAAAAGCCATCAAATGCTTAAAAACTACGTTGCTACAACTTTACAAAGGGTTATTCATGTATTTTACTAGAAAAAAATTATTTATTTAACAGTTGCA